ACTCTTTTTCCCATCATCATTGCAGATGCCTTATGGCTGTACTTCTAACGCTTCCTTTTCACTGTGCTGATTCCTCATGGTCTCCTTTATCTCTGACTCATACTTTGTTTTCCCATGAACCTTCCTTTCTTAGTAGTTGCTACCCTTCACCCAGCTTGGTCTGTGTATGATTCTCTTATGTATATAAAGCCTTAGTTACTGCTTGTATTTTCCTTAACTTGAATCTACTCAGTTCTCTCTAATACTTGAACTCTAGATCCTGTGGGAGTCTAGATGATTGCTCCTGAGGGAGGCATTGACTTGATAAGGCTTAGCCCTTGATTGACCTTGATCCTTGACTCCTTTATTGGAATAACACTCTATCCAAGTTTGTAACAATTTCAGTATCACTATGGATTGACTTAGTCACAAAGCATCCAATGCACATACACAAGTTGTTGCTTTAGAGGTAAAGAATGCAGCAGTAAGTGATTATCTATGTCGCATCAATTAAAAATTATTTACAGTTACTCCAAGGCCAAACAGACTACCACCAAAGTGAAGAAGAGGATATGTGAAGATGATATTCCTCCAGCAATTGATAAGGATTCCATGCAGTTCAAAGCATACAAACAGCTCAAGTGCCACATTTAATGTGAGCTTCACCATGACCATTGTTTCATAGATCACACCAGCAGCTATGATAACCATTGTCATCTCAATCATGCTGAGATGACTCTCTGGGCTAAAAAGATTGTAAGTTCCATGCCCATGCTTGCAGAAAAAAATAAAAAATACCCTTAGGCTCTTGGTCATGCAACAATTTACAACCCACCTCACTGCCTCAATTTCAACCATGGCCCAGTCAACAAAAAGCCTTGTCACTTGAGGTCAGGATTATTACCTGAAGTCCATGTCACCATACAAAATACAATGGCCAATCCTATCATAGTTTCCATGTCAAAGACTCCTAGTCCTCCACTGTTTTCATAACAGCATGACTTCGAGTCTGCAGCCCAGATCCCTAACACAATGCTGCCAGACTATCCAAAAATTGGGGTGTTGCTTGCACTGATTAATGCCAAAAGACCAGAACTGCAAATTCATGAACTTGAAACATCCCTGCTAGATGCAGGGGTGGTTTTGTTGAGCCAAGTAATGCTTTTACCAGAGGATGTGTTGAGTGTCATTGGCAATATGGGGCAAAAGCAAGCCAGAATCCTCCACAATTTCACTAAATTGATGGTTCTGCCACTCCTTGGACTCCTCAAATCCTATGAGGAGCCAGAGATAGAGGAGCCAGAAGCACCTAGCTCAGGGACTCAGGACAAAGGGAAGGAGCATACTATCGGGACTGAATATGATATGTGGCAGGAAGGAGAATCGGAGTATGGAAGTGGTGAGTATGATGAGTATGAGAGTGATGACAAGACTGAGGGAGATGGAGAATTCCTGACCTAAGCTGTTAATCAGTGATACAAACTAACCACTTAGTAAAATAGCACTGCCAGCAGTTTCAACATGCCTGCAAGGTACTTGCACAAAATCAGTAAAAAGTATGTTCTCTACACAATGTATTCACTATGCTTGTACCAGCCATGAGCCTTTTCACTTGTAACAATGCCATATACAGCTTCCCATATCAATACAGATGGATCACAGGCTGGACCCTCAGTCTCCTCAAGTATATAGTCATGGTTTGACTGAAGCCATGCCTTGATAGCTGAAAACACCTCCTCAATAGGATTTAAATCAGGTGAATAAGAAGGCAAGTACAGGAGCCACATGCCACTACAAAAAAAGAGAAATCAGTATTGTTTGAGCAGGAAATAAGGATAATGCACTGCTCTTCAACCATCTCACAAATACCTTGGACTTTGTGGATACTTTCATTGTCCATGACAAACACTGAGTTTGGCATGGGCCAGGGCTGCATTTGGTCCAATACACTAGCAACAAAATTCCTGAATTCTTCACCAGAGAACAAATGATCTAAAACCTTCAAGTGGAGGATACCGTCAAGTGACAGAGCTGGAAGAATTGAATATCTAACAAAATGTCAAGGCACTGACAAGAGAGTTTCTGAAAAAGTACCTTTTGCCACATATGAAAAATCCTGCTGCCATGTGTGCTTTCTAATAGGAACCCAAGCAAAATCACAATGTAAGGAAATCCTGTTGAAATGACACTCATCCACAAATACAAGGTGCTCTGGCCAGAAATGTTCCCCCATAAGCATCTTATAGGCAGCTTGATCATCTTTATTGCATTTGACAGAAGGACATGTAACCTAGATAGTACTGTATTGAATCATACATATCAGTAAGGACATGAGTGATAACATACCTTCTTCCATGTAAACCCTCACCTACATATCATTCTTGAAATTGTTGCAATTGAAACTTCAACACCACAAGTCTCCTGCAGTTGATCTTGCATCTTGGTGAGGAGAATATCTGGTTGTCACTCGATACATGCCTCAAGGAACTGAGAAATAACATATAAGTAGTACTGAGAATAAGTAATAACTCACATTTGCATCAAGACTATCAAGGATGTGGGGTTGACCTGCACAAACTGGTGTCCTCACAACTTCACCAGTCTCCTGATATGCCTTCCAAAGATATCACAATGACCGCTTGCTAATCCCAGTATAATAACAAATCATTGGGTCCTTGGCATTTAGCAAGCTCATTTGTAGAGCAACTTGCTTTCATTCCTTAGATATGTATTGTCCCATCTGAGTTATAGATCAAGATTGTCCATCAGAAGTTAAAAGTTTGTTGTTCCAACTTATTGCTGAATGTATGTAGTGAAATTTTTTTGGCCTAGCATTCTGCAAATGGCTGTAATCCATCTGGTAACTAGAGTACAGCTAGGGTCTGAATACTATTTTATCTATGCTCAATCTGAATATGGCCATTTTCTTGTTTCCACAGTGAATATTGCTGCTAGGGTGCTTTAAACCCTAAGCTTAAGCTAAAGTTCTGAAGTTCATAGAATGGAGCAGGCTTCTTCCCAGTCCCTGATTCAAATGTTGATGTTATCTGGGTAGTTTAGTCAGTTCTGACAACCAGCAGAACTGGCAAAACTCCAGGCTACATACAGAGAGGAACCTTTGTGGTTTTATCCTCAAATGCTAGAAAATTACATCCCCAGTTATTCCAGGATCCAAAAAGCCTAGGGGGAAGAGCTGGTGGGGGTAGGAAGCTTCAGACATCAAGTCTTGTGGCATTTAAATCCTAGGAAACCCACTCATCAAGCAACCTGTTTTGGCCATTTCTGAACTGAACAGGGAGTTTTGGCATCTCTGTGCAGAGACATGGACTTGTCTGCCTCAAAAAATGTCTGTTTCCCCAGTTGTCCCAATCACCCATGGCCAAGTTTATAGCTGGAATTTGTCATTATTTGCTTGTTTCTGGTCAACTTGTTGGTCTTTCAACATCAACCTCCTCTCCTACCTCATTCAGAATCTCTGGTTTAGATCAACATACTATTGCATTTAACCTGTCACAGCTGCTGGATCTTCTCCCTCAGCTATAACTTTGACTTTGTTATGTTGGCACCTCCAGTTTTGTTGGTCATGCCCTTCTGCACTTCATGCAGAATATATTGCTTGTCACTGCCTCTTCCACACATTGTTGAGAATTTTCCTTTCATGACTTGTGAGCATTCAATTCATGTTGGTATGGGCGATTGTAAGGAATATATGCTGTGCATCTATACTTGGCATGTGTCAATAATCTCATGTTTGCACAACACCCTGGGATGACGATGCATTAAGCATTATGATAGTAAGACAATGGTGATGCATGAAAGCTTACTATTTGTAATGCATAATCATGCATCAAGCCATTACACATTGTAAGACAGTCAGCTGTAGGACACTCAGCACCCAGTACTTCTGAATCGGTCCTTGATCAGAAGACACGGTATTGTCAGTGATGACAAGAATTGATCATGATGATGAGAAGTACCTTCCCCTCATAGGTACAGTTAGAAGAAGCATTTCCCCGCATTTCCATACAAAATAGACTATCTGTGCAAAACATATAATCCATGCCAAATAAATGTATGGTGTACATTACATCTCAGGAAGAGGTGGCACTGAGAGATCTGGGAGGTCAGTATCATTGTCTGAGTCTATGTTTGAGAGAGCTCTGTCAGATGATATACAGGGAGACCATGAGATCTGGAAATGATCAATAAATGCCTGGTGAATGCTTGCCCGCTTGGTAGCATAAGCACAGATGCCCTCAAGACACTCTATGTCCATCTCAGTATGCCAATGCCCCTGCTCAACCCACCAGTTGGCCTGCCACTCAAAAAACCTGAGAACACATTGCATTTCCTCATGGAGTAGCTCAACCTCCTCAGCCCACCGCATCGCATGAGCTCATGCTTTGCATCATTCCACCCTCACACCTATAATATATGTTAGTTAATCCTGTAATTCCAAACATTGCAACTCACCTTCATCATCTGTGCCATCCCTGTTACTATCCATGCCAGTCATAGTCCAAATCCATGTCAACTTCCATCTCCCTTGCCCAGGCATGATATCCAGATCAATAAGTGGTCATATATCACTGGAGTGCAGTGACTGAAGGCCACATTGCCACCCCACCTTTCCAAGTTGTTGTGCCAAGGTATTTAATGCATCCCATGCAGCATGGTACCTTGCAGTGCATGCAGCTTGTCATCCAAGGACACATTCCAAGGCATTCTGAGCCCTTGTATTTGCACCCTGCTTGTGTACCCACACCTTCTTGTATGTCAAGAGTGATGAATGTATATATAGACATTGATGGAGCTCTTGTAGTGCATCATGTGCCTGGGCCAGGCAGAGTTCCCACTTGTAAAGTCAGAGGTAGGTGAGACATGGACAATTTTTGATAGCCAAAGGGAGCCAGAGCTTTGAGTCCTCTGCACACTTGATTGTAGAGGTTGATGAGGTTGAAGTTGAGGTGGAGAGGTGGTGATCTGAGTCTGCTGAGGAATGAAGCTGACAAAGAAGTTAGTCTATGTGCAAATTAAGCGAGGTGGCGCAACACCTTTTTGCTTCTGCCACCTCGCGTTTCTCATCTACTTGAGCTCTAGCTTCTTGATCCAAGTATTTTGCATTAAGTTACAGTTCAATTATGTTACAAGAAAACCCTAACTTGGCTGTCCAACCAGATTTCACCTTGCAAGAACATCAATTAGCACGCCAGCAGCTCGTCGATGGAGGATTCACCGATGATCAAGTGGCCTGTTCGCTAGCAGTGTTATGGACATTAGCTAACAATGCAGACAAGGAACGATGGAACCTCAGGCAGGAGTGCTTGCAAGAAGCAAGAGAGCGGGAAGAGGAGGAAGAAGAGCAATGCCAACAAGTGTGCCAAGAAGAGGCAGAGGCAGTGCATCTAGAGGACAGAAAAAAGAACAAGAATAAGTACATACCACTTGTGCGCGGAAAAGTTCCCTCTGACCCTACCATATTACTGGCTCAATACACCACACAAAAGCTCAAAGCCGGAGATTATTGTGAGCTTCACTATTTCACAAACAGAGGCTTAGAGGACGCCAAACTGGCCACTCTAGTAGCGGAACCAGACACTATGGTTATGCTTCCTTCCTCGGAAGGGCTACATTCATGGATCCCGGCTGCAGCAGTTAAGGATCCAAAGGCAGCGCCAATCGTTAGAGACGAGCACCTCTCCTGGGAGGAGTTTAATGAAGCTGCACCTCACATGGTCACCTCGATGTGACAACATGACTGGCCTGAGGAGAAAGTCGAAATGCACATACAATTTTGGTATGCCCTTCAGGCGCACAGATGGCAACACTCTCCGGACCTGCTCAAGCAAAAAGCGCTCCTCCTCTACCAATCCCAGCAGCGCTGCCGTTGGCACCAGAGCATAGGGACGGCGAAGAGTTGGAGCCTCGAGGAGCTCAACAATGACTTGATTCTCGAAGCTCGAGAACTTCAATGAGAAACGTGAAAGGGAGACGAAGATAGCTATACAGGTCAGTTTCAAAGCCCCCATTACAAGTAGCACCCTATTCACATCAACCAATTCCTTTCCCTCCCCCCCTTTTTAAATTGTCACCTTGTGCAATGCATTTTATCACCTGTCGGCCATCATGCGCTGACATTAACCCCCCCCTCTGTCACACGTGTATGCACATGGACACTCCCTCGTTTCTTCAATGAAATTTCATTGGCCATCACGTGCCATGCCCAAACCCAAACCCCCGTCTCAATCATGATGATGAACACCTTTCCCATGCCCCCCCCTGCGGAATCATTCCGTTTTTCATATCACCGCAGCAAGTGGCAGCGGCATACCTCTCCAGTCAAGCCCAGCAATCTGCATCATCACAGAAGCACCCCTTCACCCCAGCTGAGGACACGCAAACTGGTAACCAAGCCAGTAACAAGAAGGTACAGACAGTACGTCCCTTCACGGCTACAGGTCCATTACCTTGCTGCGCAGTTTGTCTTGGCTGCAATCTGCACCATACCATCGAATGCACTGCCACCCAGACGTGGGACAAACAGTTTGACACGTTCTCGGAGCACATACGCAAAGGACTATGGACCAAAGACGGGAAGCAATTGTGTACTGGGTGGCAATGAGAAGAAGGTTGCACGACCCCCAAGCACGATGCCCGACACTTCTGTTCAGGGTGCGGAGCTACCACTCACGGTGCCCAGAAGTGTCCTAGAGCTCAGAAAGCAGGTACCACTGACTCCGTACAAAGCTGAAGTATGGGCACACGAGCTTCGTCGCGCAGGAGTCATTGAGCGTTTTATTAATATACCAGATGGACTCTGTTTAGGATTCAAAATAGACTTCCCTTCTATTTCAATTGTACAGACCCCTCTGAATAAAGAATCGATTGCCGAGTACAGGGTCGAATTCAATAGCATCATCCAAAAGGAATTGGACAAAGGGCGATACATTGGGCCGCTCACAGCTGACACATTAGAGAAGCTAATAGGACCTTTCCAATCCTCGCCGATGTCTATTATTCCAAAACCAAGCAAACCCGGCAAATTCAGAGTCATACAGAATTTCTCATTCCTGCTGTCCCCAAGCACCCCCCATCCAAACCCCTCAATAAACTCCTACATTAATGCCCAAGATTTCCCGACAACTTGGGACAAATTTTCAATCATATATAACCTAATAGCACACCTACCCCCAGGTTCAGAAGCAGCAATGAGAGATGTAGCGGAAGCATACCAAACGATTCCATTACATCTGTCCCAATGGCCAGCAGGAGTGATACGAGTCTTGGAAACACAATTCTGCATAGATACGTGCACAGCATTTGGAGCTACCCCATCAGCAGGGGTCTATGGACATGTTGCTGATACTGGAGCTGAAATTTTCCAGAACAATGGAATCAGGCCTTTAGACAAATGGGTAGATGATCATTTATTCATCAGAATCAGACAGGAATTCCTAGCAGAATATAACGAATGGAGGAAGCAATGGAACCAAACATTCGCAAAAGAAGGAATGCGCCAAACAGGTGGATGCATCTGGTTCGGAGAACTGCACCATGAAATGGGCAGACTAGAAGAGTCCAATGAAGACTGCTCGAAACCACTGAAGGACTTGTCAAACAACTCACCAAGATCAGATCACGACAGACTCTTCACTTTCAGCTTATGTGACATAGACGCCCTATCGGAAGACTTAGGCATTATATGGGAACCGCTAAAGGATCAACCATTCGCACCATCCATGATATACACAGGTTTTTCCTGGGATGTTCAGCTCAAAACAGTATCATTGAGTGCGGCCAAAGTAGACAAATATCTCGCAGCAATACACAAATGGCGCAAGTGGCATGCACACACCTTGCACGATGTACAAGAACTGTACAGAAAATTATTACATGCATGCAAAGCGACTCCCCAAGGCAAAGTGTACCTCACAAACCTCGAGGCGATGCTATCCTATTGCAGCGAGAAGCCATTTCTTCCCCATCGAGCAGGACAAAGGGTAGCAGATGATTTAAACTGGTGGTCAGAATTGCTACAATCTGGAAGTGTCACACGCACCATCTACCCAGCCCCCAAGCTTAAAAATCCATTCGCATTCTCAGACGCAAGTTCTGGGATAGGCATCGGAATAGTAATTGGGGATTGTTGGAGAGCGTGGAGGCTAATTCCAGGTTGGAAGACTCGCAATGGTAAACAAGACATTGGATGGGCTGAAGCAGTCGGGTTTGAGCTACTCACGTACACCCTCGCATCGCTCCTTAACACTGATGGACATGTTGTCATCCATGGAGACAACACAGGTGTCGTCAAAGGATGGTGGAAGCGCAGACACAGGAACATCGAAGTTAACGGCGTCTTCCGCAGGATTAATGAATTCATTCACAATCTTCCCTACACTTTCGATGTTGTCACATCATACATCACAAGCGCTTCCAATCCAGCAGACAAACCTTCTAGAGGGATATACGGACCAAGGAGCCTTCTTCTCCCCCCAACCAGTATTCCAACAGAGCTCGAGCCTTTCATCATTGACGCCACGAAACCACTCTCCACCTCAGAAATTCGACTCCTGCATAACGGGAGTTACTCCGCTCCAGCAGCCAAACTCATCAACCGACAACTCATCAGACAACAGGCTGACGAACGAGCTAAAGCTAGTAGGAATGACGAGGAGTTTTTCATCAGTAGGGCACTCCATGAGGAATGAGAGGAAGAGCACCTGTTTCAATGCACCGCTACCAAACACAAACAAAAACCTCGCATCAGTTCCTCAGAGCTATAGACCAGACCTAACACCCCAACCTTCAATTCTTCGGCCACATTGTCTCGCTCGAGATCGTTTGAGGCTGTGGACACCAGCTGGAAATAGTACTAGACAAGCAGTAGTGATGGCAGAGCAGAGAATCAACCACAAAATAACAGATACCCAGCTAGAGCATATTCTCGATGTTATAGGATCTTCATGGGCACAATCAACAAAAGAGACTTATGGAGCTGGTTTACTGGTGTTTCACGTATTCTGCGACACAAACAATGTCCCAGAAGATCAACACTGCCCAGTAGCACGAGTCTTGCTCCTCAATTTCCTTTGCAGTTGCGCTGGATCCTACTCAGGATCATCATTAGCAAACTATGCAGCCGGATTGAGAGCATGGCACCTATTACATGGTAGAGCTTGGCTGATCCCACCAAACAAACTCAAAGTGGTGCTAGACGGAGCATTGGCATCAGCACCAGAAACATCCAAGCGCCCAAAGAGGTCACCATTCACACCAACCTTCCTATGTGCAATTTGAGACCATTTAGATCTCGACACTCCATTAGATGCAGCCATCTTTGCATGTCTAACAACAACATTCTATGCCATAGTGAGGCTAGGAGAATTTACAGTGAATGCAATCAAAGAATTTGACCCAAAGAAACACGTTACGAGAGCAGGAGTATCAAACTCCACAGACCGCAATGGCCTTCGGGTCACCAAATTCCACCTACCAAGGACCAAGTGTTCCCCAATCAAAGGGGAAGAAGCGTACTGGGCAGCACAGGAAGGCCCGTCTGACCCTAGCAGAGGCCTAGAAAACCATCTGCACGTCAATCCAGCCAATGGAGATGTGCATCTATTTGCGTGGAAACACACAAAAGGAATGCGGCCACTGTCCAAAAAAGAGCTGATGAAGAGAGTTTCAATAGCAGTGAAAGCTGCGAACTTACCCAACCTGAAGGGACACGGCTTAAGAATTGGGGGGACCCTAGAATATCTCCTGTGCGGAGTGCCATTTGATGTCATCAAAGCTATGGGAAGATGGTCAAGTGAAGCCTTTACAATCTATTTGCGGGACCACGCAACTATACTCACACCTTACATTCAAGCATCACCAGCGCTAGAGCCTTTCACACGCTACACAATCCCCCCAATCCATTAAGAAGCAAGAGTGAGTCCATCTCCTAATCCTAGGGGCATCAACCTTCGCTGCATGCATCGTTGTACTCCTAATTTATGGGAACACAGCTCACCTTTTCATGCCATAGGTATGAAACTATGTTTCAAGCTGGAAAGCCCTTCGGGCTTTTGCCCAATAACTCAACACCCTAGAGTATCGTCACCAAAACGATAAGCATCATAACAGAAACCTTTTTCATTAGCAATCACCAAGTTTACAATTCCTAAGTCAAAGGCGAGCTTCGAAAGTGCATAGAATGCTCTGCACGATAGGCATGTACAGTGCTTGTGCTGTGTGCCACAACTCGATCTTGTGATGTAACATGTTTCTCTGGCACTGCAACTTCCCTCTCTGTGTATCTGTCACATGATTACTGAGACTCTTCACAAACCTAGCAACCCATTGTCTGTAAAATCCCTCAGCTTCATAATCAGGAGACAAATGCATGGAACTCACTGATCTTCTTCTAAGTCCAGCCCCAAGCCAATCAAAACCATTGCTGAGACCTCAGGATGTAGCAATACGTCTGTGCCACTTTTGAATTCCCAACCCTCCAGTTCTGCTAGCCTCAGATGAGCGCCAGCCTGGGTGATTGCTAAAACAAGTTAGCTCATTCATTTACAAGTCTTGCAGCAGACACATACCAACTGACTTCACCTCAAATAGATTTGGGATGCTCATATCAGTTGGATTAGCCTCCTACTATTCTACCTCAGCTTCCCAGGTTGTGTGATGTTGTTTGGTAATGGCTGTGTTGAGTTCTTCAAAGGCCACTTAGAAGCCAGCCTTCTCCTGCATTGCTTCTTTCATCTTACATAGAAAGCTTGCACCTAAAAGTACTTAGAGCTGCATCTTTGGGGGATGACAACCACTTACCTAGATTGACAACTTTTTTCCAATTCCAGTCTCTAAAGTGATCATCCAAAGTGTCCCATTGACTGCCCAGGCCCATCTCTTTCATACTAGATGCCACAGGGTTGATATTGGACCATCCACACTCCAGAGCCTTGCTATTAGTGTGCCCAACCCAATGAGACCAGTTGAAAGAAAGAGACATCTGACATTTTGTGATATGTGCAGGAAGGTGAAACTTAGGGACAAAGAAGCAGATGTCTTTGGAGGTGTGATCAAGGCAGTAATCTTCTGGAAGTGTCGCCATTCTAGACCAGAGATATTTGTGCCATTGGCACACAATGTCATATAAGATGTTGAGAACTTCTACAGAGCAGTGGTGTAAGGTCAAAAAGAACAAAAAATCCATATTAATATATCTGAGGTTGGTAAGTCAGTGATGCAAATACACGAACATTGAAACAGTACATACCTCTTGCCTTTCTGCAAGTCACCCATGCTGTTAGGAAGTTTCATGTTATGGTGTGCACAATTGATTGTGCCAAGTCCTATAGCCTCATAATGGCCATTCCACTTCAAAAGACCAGTATTGTCAGTCAAGCAAACCAAGGAGTGATAGAACTCATAGGCAGAAACCTTTGATTTGAATGATAAAATGTGAAATTGATAGAGCACACAAAAAGTAGCCATGGTTCTCAGATCGCTGGTTGCTGCAGGGAACCATCCAACACATAAGAGTTGTTGAACATGAGATTGTGCCTTATCATACTCACAAAAGTCTATGGTGACAGGATGGATAGCTAGGGTGTTGACCAGAATAAAATTGTCATTGTAGGCTCAAGTAGGAAGCAGACATGACTCACCAACCTTGTGACTGAGTTGGATGTGAAGACCAAGATCTTTGAGGGTTACACTTTGAAAATAGGTGCTGTTCCATTTCTGTGTTCCCATCAATCATAAGCAGCATCTTGATTGAGAAAAACACTCACCTCCACACAATGCACTGGTGAATGAGCATGAGCGTAAATAATACATGCTTGACATAATAAATCAGGGGCAAAACAATCTTTGCAGTGGTACAAGCCAACATTCATCCTGCAGGACCTGTATAAGTCAGATGAAAAATCATGGCCTCTCCCATTGTAATAGAGCATTTCAAGAAGGAACAGTTCACAGCCATGGTCTATTCAGCAATGGAGAGGATTATCCTAGAAAGGGTAAGTATGTGCAAGGCAAGTGGGAAGTTCTGCACAAACACCAGGTATGCGATCATGCTTGGCCTGATCTCCTATGTCCACTTCAAGTGGTGTGTCTTCATCCATTGGAGAGTGATCATAATAGGAATGATCATAGTCACCAATGTTAGTGCCAAGATCAGTTGCAACATAGGAGGGTACCGAATCTTTGAAGACAGTCTGGTGAGATGTTAAAAGACCATGTGACAGGGAGGAAAATTTCACTCTCTTGTGAGCAGAGGGCACACTAGATGAAGGAAGGACTACATATTCATTGAAATGAGATTGCATGTGCCCACACCCACTACCATAACCAAGCTTGATGCCATGCTGTCCACACCCATGTCCATGACCATGACTGTCAACTTCACAGAATATCCAAGGCAGCATTCCAACTGGAATGACAGTTACTTCTAGTGGGGGTGGGACAGCTGGAACATCACTGGAGCTTGACATTGTAGGGGAGGTCTTCTATGTCATATCCAATGCAAGTGTGGGCTGTTAGAGCAATGAGCATTAGGAATTGTAAGGAGGATCACTTACTGTACTTCGGGATCCTCCAAGTCTTATGTAGTGCAAGAACTATGCTTGGTGGAGTTTGTCAATGTGAGTGAGATATAAGATGCAATTGAAACCAGATTCTACTTACCATTAGCCACCAAGCCCCTTCACACCTAGCATCATCCAGTCTGATTCCCTCTTGCACTGCCATTCAACTAAAATGAAAGTTTTTCCTATGCTCATCAAGAAACAAACCTTCAGTTTGTTGAATTGGTTACTGTGGTGGAGCTTCTGCATGATCAGCTTAGTAAGCTAGTGTAATAACACTTGCAGGTCAACACACTGAAATCATTTTCAGCCCTCAAGGCAGCCCACAGTCAGGCTGATCCTGAGACTAACCTGCCTGAACAGGTAGCAGAAGTGATTGCAGTCGGTTATTGCCCCACTTGTATTTTTCATGCTCACACATGCACTTGTTATGCGTGTAAGGCTCAGATTCAGCATAGAGGTGTGTCTCAAGGAGGTAAGTGCTTACTTCCTCAGCTTTAACAGTTTCTAATGGAGGATGCCAGACAAGGTGCAGAGTGCCTGGACCTCTGTGAGCAGTTTGAGCTCCTTGAACAGCACCATTGATGTTGGACCAGCTGGTGACACTGCTACCAACACTGTGATACCTAATGCGACTCCAGGCACTGCAACTCCAGCCATTGCCACTACAATGACTCATGGAAGCACTTCAGCTTCTGCCTACTGGTATGTTATTACTGTCAGGTAGGAGACTGGCATTTTTCAAGGATGGTATGTATCCTGTTCATTCATTCTAGCAGACTCACTAATTTTCTTATAGGCATAACATGCATTCCCATGTCATTGGTGTGCCTGGTGCTTGCTTTGGATGGTACTTCTCTCATGTGAGTGCTGATGAGGCATATGCACAGGCTCTTCAAGGTGGTACCATGCAGGAGTTGCCAGTCTAATAAGCCCTTCTGATACCTACCATATGTATATACAAATTATGTACCCATTTGTACTCATCCTATGTGTGTTTTGTGTGTTTCTTGCCCAATAATGATTGTATATGCCTCATACATTCCAAAATTCAGAAATGTAAGCATCAGGCAGATAGTTGGGTTTTCACAACTGCACATATGAATGTCAGGGTACAATAGCTATAAATCAAAGACCCTGAAAGACATTGGTTGATGGTTGGTTGATGGCACATGTTTTCACTGTTCATAGATGATTCTTATAATGGCAGCTGCACTGGATCACACAAATCAAGACTGACATTATTTCTATTGTAGACATGTAGGATTTTTACCTGAATATGTGGCAAGGAGTGTGTTCAGACATCAGGACAAAGTATGCTGCCAATTGACATTGGTGGGTTTAAGTCCTATAAAAGTCAGATGAAAATTACCAGTTGCAAAGCCCAAATCTGACCAACATTGACAGTCACAAGAATTTCATTCTACTTCCATTGTTATCCCCATGTATGGGTTGACTGAAACTGTATCATATTCCCAAAGAACATAGAGAAGCCAAATGAATGCATGGGCATTCATATTACACATGGTATGTAAATAAACACTTGTAGTTGATACTTGGTATGGGCTATGACACAGCTGATATTCTCACCTCAATCTCACAGGCATCAGTCTATCATTAATTTGAAGCACAAATCCAGATATCACTCTCAATGAGCCAGGTAGGACAAGGGGAATGTTTCACTGAGCCCATCTTCAATGGCATGAGTGACTCAAATCTCCTCATAAGTGCATTCCATTCTGAGTGCTTTTAAGGCATGGCACACAGGATTCAAGTACCTCTGAATGTACCTCTGAACTATAAGATAGTGATGTATCTATCAGCAGTGGACCGATGAATAAAATACACTGCAAGCAAGATTGTTTGATGACTTATCTTAGAGGCCAACCTCATGAAGTTATCAGTGGCCTGTTGCTGGAGTACTTGGAGACCAAGTCATCAGAGAAACTTCAGGCAGTCATAGGAGTGATAGATGAGATATTCATCAAGACTCAGCAGGTGGAAAATGACTTACTTGTGCAGGGAATCAGTACTGGCAAAAGGTACACCAAGGCCAGTCTTGCCACAAAAGCTGTCAAGGGCATGCTCTCTGTGCTAGAGGATGTGTTATGTGATGTTCTGGTGGATGATACAGACTTGCAAGAGAAGTATAACAGTAATGGATTCTTATTTCAACAGCTATGGAACTAGCACTCATCTACATATTACTTAATCACACTTGTTCATTGTTGCAAAGCATCAGCAAGTCTGGCATGATAGGGTACTTTACACAACAACCATCATCTGTCCCACAACACCCCAAACAACTGTACATTGAACAAGCATGTCTCATATTCAGTCATGCCCACCCTAACCAACTCAACAATGTCTAAAATCTGCCATCATCAACTGTCAGCTCTCCAATCAGGCAATGGGTTGTGATGGCTCACTTCTCCATGTGCTTTTTCTGCTGAACACAGCTCCTTCTTTTAATCTTCAGTCAGCTCCAAGTTCAACTCCCAGTCAGTGGTCAGCTCTGAGTCCACCTCCTGCTGGTCAAGCCACAGTATATCTCACTCAGGCCACATCTGCAACCATTCATCCAACAACTTTGTCTTGAATGTTTTAGGTGTTGGAATTGGGATGTGCTGGAATTCAGTTAAGTGGGGCATTAACCATACATGCTGTTTGCATATTGGCTGCCACATGTTTGACATCTACTCAATCGCATCAGGCCAAGTTCTGGAGTGGGCATCAAACATACCTCTGAGTCTTTTTTGTGTGTGAGCAGGAGTGTGAAGTACCTGAGTGAAGGTAGAGATTGAGTCATGTTGATTGTAATGCATGACTTTGATACATTTCCTTCTTTCAGAGAACTCATTCAAATCAAGTGGGATTCACCTGCTCTTTCCATCCCATGCTTATTGCCTCCCTTATTTGAATCAAGCAGGATTCACCTCTTACCTGTCACTCTTTCCATCCTGCACTCACTGCCTCTAATGACTTGAACATTTGAAGCACTAACATCTCCAGCTCAACATGCCTTTCTTGCCAAATGGTATGATGAATTCTCTCACACTGTTGCAAGCTGCTATGATAAGTTCTTTGAATCTATTTATGAGGCTTGGTTCACTCAATGGCCTGAGCACAATATGTACCTTGCTGGTATCATTTACCAGGGTGGGGAGCCAAAGATTAGTAGGTTGGGGGAGGCCATAATCCAGGCATGCATACCAAAATGCCAAGAGGTGAAGTTCAGATGTACTTGTACTGTAGTCCAGATGTTGCTCATTTATTTGCAGTTGATCTGGAACTATTTTGTGTGCAGAAAGGCAGTCCACATTCAACAGTGCTTTTTCACCACTAGACATATTCAAGCTTATTTGGATATACAGTGAGTGTTGCAGTTGTGTTCAGTGCACAGTGCAGTGAATGACCTGCACAACAGTGGCCTCAGAAATGGAGAAACTACTTGGTGATGCAGCTGGATGCCAAAATTGCTTCTTTGTATGTAGATAGATGTTTGAAAGAGATCCTCATTTTGACAGTGAAGTATTTACATGGATACTGGTAATGTCACTAAAATAATGCATTAAATGTTATGTGTAGGTCTCCTGGTACATGAACCCCCTCCCCCCAACACACTCTGCAGCCTGCTGACAGTGTGCTGTCCTCAACACAATGGTGCCAAAAAAGTGGACTACTTGTGAGCAAGAAGCAGTCCTGCAGTCTTTGTTAGCTGATTATTGGACATGCATACCTTCAAAAAATTACTCACAGTTCTGGCTGAAGATCAACCAGAAATTCTTTGCTAAATGGCTGATCCACAAAGAATTTTTCCCCAATGTCCAGAATGAGAATGATCTAACTGATGAACAAAAGGAGGTGATTAAGGAGCCACTGAAACAGTGAAAATTTGTGCATACTGTTGTTACATTAACAAACTCTTTGCTGACCACTAGTCACAGCAAATCATGTGCTGGTATTGCTGGCAAACAAATCTAATGTGTCTTGCACATTCAGGTGGATCCAGGGGGGTCCTCAGCATCAAAGAAGTACTTGCAGGAGGCAAGAAAACAAAGGGCCCATGGGCACTGAAGGAAGTGGAGGTTTACTCCTAAATGTACTATGCAGACAATGTCAAGCAGTCAGCCAATGAGGCAATCACAAAGGGAAACATCACCTCTCATGGTTCCAAGCTCCTTGTATATCATGAGATCACCATGGAGAAATATGAGGCAGAGTTGAGCACTGTAAAGGACAAAGTTAAGAGGAAGCACAAAATGTTACACAAGAAGTTTAGAAAAGCTCACAAGATTGTGACAGCCAAGATAAGGGAAGAGGTAGATGATGAGACAAAGATGAGGTATGTACCTTTGGTCAGGATATTCACCACTAAATTGACAAGTGGACAGGGCAATCCATGAGCTTCTAGGTGTGTTAGATTGCATATTCTGACACCTAAGCCACATGATGGGAGGATGGAAATTCTCTGTCCTCATGGGTGGCTGTGATACTGAAGCTGGAGGCACTATGTGATTCTTTGAGTGTGTGAATCACCTATCTATACAATTCCTCATCAATTGATCAATTGATTGATTTGAAACAGTTACCACCTTGGAGAATGCACTACAGGAGGGCAATTCTCAGACTTGTATGATAGATATGGTGAGGTGCTTAGGGCATATGCAAGGTTTACAGAGAAAAGTGTTGGTAAGTGTGGGAGTCATATGAAGATTGCAAGACCTACTAACATTAAATGCAATGTTAAGAGTATGAAGAAAGTTTACCAGCTGTTAAGCAGGACAATGCCAGTGACCTTGATGATGACAAGGATGAGTCAAGTGACAATAACTCTAGCAGTGAGGTTGGTGAGAGAGAGAGATGAGGTCACTGAGACAGTAGGAGACAATGTTGGAACTGTGAGAGAGTCAGACTCTTGGGAATTGCTTTATCAGCTGAAGGACTGGATTCCTGATGACTTTAATGCATCACAGCCAAACAGTGTGCAGGAGATAAGCTCAGCCTCCATTACTAATAATACACATGACTAACATTGTTTATTCCTCTAGCATGAACCATGCACTGATGGTATTGACTATGACAGTCTTCAACATGCCAACTACGACACTGCATTGGCTCTTCTTGAGACATCTCTGAAAGACCTAGGTATGTATGACACACCTGAGCATGGAGACTGGTGACTTACAGCTGCCCATTGTTCCTCCAGGGAGATGTGAAGTGCTGATCCCTCCATCTGATGCATCTGCATCTCAGCCATCTCAGCCAGCCCCAGTGATCCCTGTGCCTCAGCCTCCTACACCTCCCTCTCCTGCGTCTACATCCCAGCCAGCCCCAGTGATCTCTGTGCCTCAGCCAGCCCCAGCAATCCCTGCACCTCAGCCTCCTATGCCTCAACCTCCCACACTTCCTACTAATCCTGCATCTCAGCTAGCCCCTGCTCCTCTTCCAGAGGATGATCAACCTGTTTGACATACTGGTAGGGCATGCCCATCAGTCCCTTGTAGCCAGCACAAACTAGACAATGTCATTGGTGGAAACTCAAAATGAGGCAGCAAGTGCAAAGGCAAGGATGTAATTCACAGGTCTAAAAAGTCAAAGACTTTGTAGCATATTTACTTCAATTGGAAGTATTGTACTTTGTGTATAATGGATTTAATTTTGTTTAATAACCTCTGGATCATGGTGCATGTATGGACTTCCCAACATTCTGACTCTCGCTGGTCTCAGTTGGAGGACTTAAAAAAATTTTGGGCACACAGGAAATGCCATTGTCACAATACTATGGACTTTGTCAATTTTCAGACATTCAGAAAATGCCAAGTACAAACTTGGGTTATTTAATGATAGAGCTCAGGAACGAAGGTATGGGGTTTACGTAGCCAGGTCAAACTTTGATGTCAAAGCCAGGTACAGGAAGCCCCAATATTTAATGGTCCCAAAGGTAAGGGGTAATGGAAGCCTGCTCACCTTTTTGTATGGCTGTATTAGGCAATTATGGTAGCACCCTGAGCTGGAGTACTAATGCATTAGTGCTCCCCTTTTTGTATGGCCAAATTGGGCAAATAGAAGCACCCCAGTGAGCTAGAGTGCTAATGCATCACTGATGCATTAGGGATTCGCAAAGATTCACCAGCATGCCTCAAAAGGTGCAGTAACTGTTCATGCATCATGATTGTCTTACAAATGTAATACAATCATGCATGAATATGACACTATGGGCTGGTGTTTGTGCTCCTGAAAATCTTGCAGGAATTTTGCTAACAAAATTATGCTGGGATTGTTCACCATCCCTTTTTGTGATCTGGTAATGCTGTGTCACATTGTGCCACTTGTGCTCGAGCTAGTGCATCCAATCATTTCAATACAAGGAATCAGGATGTTGAGCAATGTCACCTTCATGCTCAAAGGCACCAAAATAAGGATCTCAATGCTAGTACATTTTCCTGTGTTAATTTTTGATGACAAGGTGGACACCATTGCTGAGTGGCAACAGAAAATGAAACTGGAATTGTTGCAGTGAAACTCCTGTGCTTGTTGCACTCATAATGTTCCTGCCCAGGAATTGCTGCTAATAGATGTCAATAAGGTGCTGTTGGGGTTGTTCTGTAATGACTGCTGAAACAGTTATAGAAGCCTCGCGTAGATCTAAAGTAAATAGATGCACTCAGTTGTTGCACGCAAGAATGCAAACATCTAGTATATTCACCTAAAGTAAATAGATGCACTACATCACATGAGTATAAGTGAATATAAGTAAAATGGATATCATACCTCAGTTGTTGCATGCAAGAACACAAATGTCTGAGGTATCTGTTTGTGAACAAGATCAGCTAAATAGAACTAAGTGCTCTTGTAAGTACATGAAACAATGAGAGACAGCACTGGCCATAGCAGACAAAAGAGATAATTAACAATAGCGCATAATGGAGAAGTATTCATCGCTGGACTATTAGTAAACAAGAATATGAAACCAGAGAACAAAATGTGCACACCTCAGCTGCAGGCAGACTTGCTTTATTTCCAACAACTGCCTCTCTGAGCATACTTGCATACCACAGATATACTATGAATTGTTTGAGAGAACATCCTAAGGGCTTACAAGAGTGTTGGTGTAAAGCAAACTTATATCTGTGCAATTCCTGTTGTTCAGCACTCAGCTCTGGTTAAAACATCCTTGTCAGCCTGTGCACATGAATAACTTGGCCAATTTTCATATTATGGTCACAAGAGACTTCCCCCTAAAATTTACACAGGATTTTTGGAGCAGTGTATGATTTGATGTTGATTTTCAAGCTCATGCACCCCAGATCACACATCATTATGTGTATGAAATCATTGATCACTCGGAATATGGAATGCCACAGGAAGTTGACCTCTTGGAAAGCCTGCAGGCTCGGTGGACACCCTTACCATTTTCAGATGTGTCGCAGCGATGATGTCACCCCTCTAAGTGAGCAGAGGTGGGAATGAGCTGGGGAGTGAGCGTACTGGTGAGAAACTACATGCATTTAATATGAGTCCTTCCTGTCGTTTTGGACCCAAACATACACTTAGCTAACCGTCGCTAAACCTGTCTTAAACACAACTTAAACAGGACTTGTATCTAATTCCTGTGGCGTGCATCGCCAACACTTGCAGCCTAAACCTCAGCGGGCCTAATCCTTAATTCCTAAACCTTTCCTGATCATAGAGTACTATGTAGTTTGTTTATCAACCAACCAACCAACCACCTCTCACTCAAAATGTAATTAATTTACCATACATCGCTAGCATTTCTACATGACAAGGTTTAGATCAAGTTTAGATAAGGGTTGGACCTGTTGAGGGCCAGGAATGACGAGGTTTATATTGAAGACCACTTTGACAATGGTTCTTCAGCATCTATGAAATAAGAGCCCGCAACAGATCAGGCTGCGCAAAGGCCCCGGACATATTAATTGATACATTCATACATATGTCTGGGGATACCATTCATCCATAGAACTTATCTGACCGTGTCGAGTCAGGCCATCTCTTGCTCGGGTCTATTTGTTATCGTACCATTTATAAGTATCGAATAACCGTACAAGCGCACAGCTAGATCTCACAGTGTGACAGCTTTTGGATGGGCGCGAGGCGAATAATCATGATATCTTTGTTCGGACGGGTCCTTCGTTAACAGAACAGTGGCGTAATACGCGTAATAGTATATATAAGCCCTTATCCCAAAGCACCGAATCGCCGACACACCACCATTCTTATATCCCTATTATCATGGTCAAGGAAAGTCGAGTTGATGTGCTCATCATCGGTGCGGGTCCATCTGGGCTCATGTGTGCCAATGCATTAGCTGGTGCTGGAGTGGACTTTAGAATCATAGACAACAGGTCTGTTTAGAGTCTTGAGTGAAGATGGATAACTCACGTTGACGCAGGCCGGTCGGTGTGGCGGCTGGGCAAGCCGATGGCATACAGCCTAGGACGATCGAAGTTCTTCAAGTATGTCCCAACATTTGCGATAGAAGAGGAGTGATATCTAATTCCTCCAGAGTTATGGTTTGGCAGATGGTTTGTTGAAGGACGGTGCCCAGATGTATCTTTGTGTGAGTCTCAGAGACTTTCAGTTGATTCAAGTTCTGGGTAGTAATATCTATGTAGGCCTTTTACAACCCTGGCCCTGATGGCGGCATCGAAGTATGTTTCCTGACTGCTCTGTCGCTATTTGTTCAAACAATACTCGCAGCGCACTGGCCGGGCTCCAGACGTGACAGCTCCATCGGCCCGCTATCCCTTCAAGGTATGTTCTATCGTCCGGCTCATTCATATCTGATCCCTATTGTCGCGAAGATCACGATCGATCAAGGATCAATTGAATCAATGTTCATCGAGTCCTTGAAGTCACAAGAAATATCAGTTGATCGTCCGATTGCACCTTCTTCCCTAGAAATTTCAGAGGATCCCGAGGAACTTCTGGATCCAACCTCATACCCTGTAAAGGTGCTCGAGATTCTAATCCCAACAAGACGCTGCTTTTGACACATTGGCACAGGTGGTCTTGGACCACGTACTCCCTTCGGACGCTACTCCAGAACAGGAAATCGTTTACGCGAAGTACGTCCTCGGAGCGGATGGTGAGACATGCAGCATCTCGAACGCTCCTGTAGAACTGATCGTGCCTGCTGCTCAGGCGCACACTCGTGGGTTCGGAAAAACTTGGGTTTTACGATGGATGGGGAACAAACAGGTCAATTTTGGCGCTAATTCAACATGAGATATTCTAATATGTAGTGCTTATTTCAGATTACATATGGGGTGTGATCGACTTCGTTCCGGATACCGACTTCCCAGACATTCGCAACCGTGCTGCAATTCACTCCCTAAATGGCTCATGTATGATCATACCCCGCGAAGGAGACAAAGTCCGGTTCTACCTGCAAATGTCGGACAAAGACGTCATGGATCCTGAGACAGGACGAATCGACAAGCGCAAGGTGACCGCTGAGAACCTCATCAACGTACGCACCAATTTGATTGGCTCAAAGGACTACTAATACCTTTCCGAACAGACTGCTCGTAAAACATTCCACCCGTATATAGTCAATGAACCGAAGGAAGTGGACTGGTGTTCAATTTACATCAGTAAGAGAATCGCACTGCTATCACTGGGATTATGACGTTGAACGATTATTACTTCAGTTGGTCAACGTGTAGCCTCTAACTTCTCTAAACACGACCGTGTCTTCATCGCTGGTGACGCCTGTCACACGCACTCTCCGAAAGCAGGTGAGCAATGAAATGGTCCAAGACGATAAACGAGTCTGATTGCGTTGCAGGGCAGGGCATGAATGCGAGCATGAACGACACCCATAACCTTGGTACAAGTTTTCCTATTTCAGACGGAGTGTATTTCTCAGAGTCTTTGCAAACAGCGTGGAAACTGGCCCAAGTCCTGCGGGGTAGGGCGGATATTTCCCTCTTGAAGACTGTATGTTCGCATATCACTTGTTCATTTCGAGGACTTATCACCTCTCAGTACGAGTTCGAGCGGCAGAAATATGCCCAAGATCTCATTAATTTCGATCGCGAGTTCTCCGCTCTATTTTCTGGCAAACCCAGGACGTCGGAAAACCAGGAGGGCGTTACTCATGAACAATTCTTGAGGTTGAGTTGTCTCAATGGCATTTCACAGCGGTATTTAACTTGTGCTTCTCAGGGCTTTCCAGGCTTCTGGCGGTTTCAGCAGCGGTATCGGTGTCCATTACATGCCTTCGGCGATTGTCAATACTATTCATCAAGATTGCGCACCAGAGATCATCATTGGCGAGCGGATGCTGCCGCAAATATTTGTTCGTGCAGCGGATGCTCGTCCTGTTGATATTCAAGACATGCTTCCCGCGGATACCCGCTTCAAGCTTCTTTTTTTCGTTGGTCTTTTGACGTCGGAGCAGCTCGCGAAAGTTCGAAGGCTCGCTGAGGAGTTGCAACTCCCCA